CTACACGGGCCTCACCAGGCCCTCTCCCACCCTGGGGCCCAGTGGCTCTTCTAAAGACAGCAGCGTGTCATAATCACCACCCCATTGAGCATGACGGCCAGCCTGGCTTGAATGCATCCCACGTGAGCAATGCTCCGAGCCCTACATGCCGCCTCTGTCCACCCTCACTCGTTACTGGCATCGTTAGCTACTGGCACTATTAGCGGTCCCATCTCACAGGTGCAGGCACAGATTAGCTTGGGGACACGCCCAAGGTTACGAAGCCAGCCAGAGAGGAGCTGGGCTGGCTTTGAACCCAAGGCTGACTCGGAGCCACTGCCCTGTCCCTCCCCCTGAAAATGGGAGGAGAGGCCTCTGCTGGGATCTGGTACACCTGTCCCAACAGCGGAAAGGGTAGGGCGCCCCTCTTCCCCTTCCCCACCTGGGCTTCCTCAGGCCCCCAGGTCTGCATGCCAGCCTGCTAGACAGGCTAAATTTAGGCTCAGAAATCAGAAATAGCTCTGACAGCGCTGAGTACTAATTAGCAGCTGCTCTTCGGCTGGGGCTGTGCCCACTGAGGAGATGGGCACTCTGGGGAGTGGGAGTGAGGCCAGTGGATGCCACTCACTCAGGTGAGGTGAGGCCACCCTAAAAATAGAAATGGACCCCCAGACCCAGAGCCCTCAGCAAGGCGGCAGCAGCATGGGATGGGAGACTGGGGGACAAGTCAAGGATTAGGTGACAGTGCTCAGATGGAAGGGAAAAGGCAGGGAGCCTAGATGATTGGAGCACACCTGCCTCCTGAGAGAGGCACGAAGTAGCCGTGATGTGGGAGAACCAGAACTGGATCCCAAAGAGCCAGGCTCTGGCCCACCTAGCCATACAACTTCTTTGCCTTCTTGAGCCTCAGCTTCCCCCTCCATAAAATGGGCAGACTCCCTCCTGCCTCACACTCCCGGAGCTCAGTGAGAAGCTGTGTTCTGATGGAATCATACTCCTCAGTGACCTAACATTACATAGAGGCATCTCACAGATGCAGGGACGCACCGGGGCATGGGGGTGGGGGGTTCAAGTCCCGGACCCAGCAACTTGAAACTCACACCAGGTACATGTGCATGTGTGCCCAAAATCCAGAGAGGAGAATGAGCAGAAGGGATTGTAGCGTAGTCGTCTCCCCTGGGGGGTGATTTCTCACTTTCTATATCTGTCTCTCTCTGCCTCTCCAGTGAACGCATGCACCCTATAGCAAAAACTCTCTCAAAACAAAACGAAACGAAAAACAGACCTGTCTCTAAGGCTGGGTCAGGCGTTACCTGACCCTTCCGCCCACTCTCCCTGCCACTCTTAGTGCTTTGGGTCAGAGGCAGATGAGGGAGACAAGATTCATCTTTTAGGGCGTGGCCAAGAAGAGAGACTGATTCCCTGAGCCTTTCTATCACAGCGTGTGAGGAGCATTCCCCTCCCTCCCTGTCCCCTACCTCCCTGGGTGCCAGCGGGACCCCCAGCCTTGGCTTACACAAACAACCCCCGCAGGCTTAACTACGATCCCCACCCACCCAGCCCTGAACAGAGTGGACTTGTGAGGTGGCATCCCAGGAGACTAGGGGAGCGCTGCCCACATCTGAATACAGCCACACCCCGCAGTTTCACTTTTGCTTCAGCTGGGTCAACCTACCCATGTTCCAGTCCCTCAGGTCTCAAAACACCCCTGAACTTGAATGCCAACCTCAGCCCTGCTAGGGAGCCTCAGCCCATGGGCCCAGAGGCCAGGACTCCCTCCCCTGCTCCCACTTCCCATCCATCTCCTCCTGCCCATCCCTGTATGGTCTCAACCTTGGTCTTAGATCTTTTAGAACATCTCCAAAAATAGTCAATTTTGTATACTCTTTAAGATTCCATTATATAGGTTTTCTGGAGTTCTAACAATAAGTCTTAGGCTTTGAGGAGGCCTGTGGAGTGAAAGCCTAGAAAGCTTACAGCTTCTCCCCTCCAGGTTCAAGGTTCCGGCAAGAGTGTCAAGGGCCAGCAGGGAGGGTGTCAGGAAACCAAGCACTGCCTAAAACATACTTAAGACTGGTAGGAGAATGACAACAACAACAGTAATAATAAACACTCCCAGGCCGGTTGGTGGTATGGTAATTAAGGTGACTGGATCACACATGACCAACTCATGGTTTGTGTCCTAGACCTAGAGCCTTGAAAAAACATGCCAGGCACATGTGTATGCATACCCAAAATCCAGAGAGGAGACTGGAGAAGGAAGTGCATCGTGGCCATCCCTCCGCGGTTACTTCTCACTTTCCCTCTCTCTCTCTCTGTCTCTCTCCAGCAAGTGTATGTGCCCCACAGTAAATTAAAATGAAAATAAATAAGTAGACAAATAAACTTCCAAAACACTCCCTCTGTACAAGGTGCCATTCTAAGCATTTTACTTCTGACAACTTGTTTAAACCTCAACAACGGCTATGTACTAATAGATACCATGACAAGAATCCCCCTTTCACAAACGGGACATTGAGGCTCAAAGAGGTGAAGGTGCTTAGTCAACGTGACCTAGATGTCAAGCTGGGGTTAACGAGAAACTGGGATCCATCCTGGCCTCTGGGGGGGTCTTCCACAGACAGCCTGGCCCGGTCCCCCATCTGAGGAACCAAGAACAGCCAGCCCCACTTCCTGCCACCCAGCACCCTATGCTTCCTGTTGTTGCCCACACTGAGCTCTTACTCACTGGGGAACCCCCTCCCCCCACAGCACACCCTCTCTCAGGGGGAAGTGGAGGCCTCCTCACCTCCTCCCATACTGCAGGCTGTGCCGTTAGCACCGCTGGGCCCCACCCTCCAGGAGAGGTGGGCCTCCCCCTCTGGTTTCCGGCTGCCAGGCAGTTTTCGGTCTAGGCCCCACTGTGGCTGACCTGCATAATGGCAGGGAGGTGGCCTGGTGTGGGATGGAGGTCTGGGGGCACCTCAGGAATGTCTGTCGGGGACCTTGGTGCTCTTAGCAAGGGAGGTGCAAGAAGAGGAGAGGCAGGGCTGGGCTCCTTCACCTAGGAGGGCCTCAAGGTGGAGACAACCCAATCAACTCCAACATCATCCCCTCACTCTCAACGGAGAGCATTTATCAAGCGCCTGCTCTGAGCCAGGCATGGTGCTAAGGCTGTTCAATCCCCCCGTAGTCCTAGGGGCTGACATATGCCATTGGTTTTCTCTTTTTATGCATGAGGAAAACTGATGCTCAGAGAGGTTAAGTAACTCACCCAAGGTCACACAGGTAGTAAGTGGCAAAGACAAAACCAGCCCCCTAAACCCCATGACCCCAAAGCCCGAGGATCTATTCTTTCCCCTGAGTAACCCCTGACCATCCAAGTCACTGTCCAGGGCTCTAAGTTCCCAGGAAAAGTGCAGAGGTGGCCCTGAGAGCAGCCCCACCTGCTCTTGCCCATCTCAGCCAGCTCTTTGCTAACCGCCCAGATGTCACTGTGAATCATGCCCACCACATCCCTGGTTTCCAGGGTTAGCAGTGCCAGGCCTGTCTGCTGGGAATGTCACCCCAGAGCCTCCGCCCAGTCCAATATGTGACCACATGGCCCCCACCCCTTTGAGACATTCTGTGTTTGGACAGCCCAGAGGTGGTAGCACAGGGCCTGAGAGACCCCACAGCCTCACGCCCATAAACAGCATCCGGCCCTTAGAGAGGGAGCAGGCCGGGAAGGCAGCACCTTCGCTGCAAGCCACGCACGCAGTGGTGACATCCACCCCTGCTCTTCCCCACCAGCCCTAGAGGGGAAGGGGCCCTGCCTAAAGCGGGTCTCCCCAGGCCCACGTCCTGCTTGGGATTGCCCTGACCACCCTACACAGTCCAGCCAGGGGCCTATGTCCCTGGGCATAAACTGAGAGCTCCCTGGGGCCAGGGCCCCTCTGGCAGGCCCCCAAAGGGTGCCTTGCCACCCCATCCCTGTCCCCGCATGCCCCAAGGGGAAGGTGTGGAAGAGCTGGTAGATGCCCAGCTTTGGGCACGGGCGTAGGAGAGCGAGCGCTCGCAGCCTGGCTGGCTGGTGCTCCCTCCATCGCAGCAGGCCCATGGAACCCGGCAGCCATCACTTCTCTGCTGTTGCTAAGGCAGCAGCCAGAAACCCTGGCTCAACCTGCTCTCTCTCCCCACCCCCGTTTTAAGCTGGGGCACCCCTCTCTCTACAGCTGTCTTAGAAAGGTGGCCCCACCACCTCCTACCTTTACATGGGAGAAAGGCTCCCTGCAGCTCTTGTTTGACTGTGGGCCTTGGGGGACACCCCTCCTTCATAAGAGGGGTTCCAGAACCAGGAATGAAGGGAGACTTTCAGGAGCCTACTCTCCAAAAGGCCAAATGTAAATAAAAAGAAGCATCTCCTGGACACCATGTGACTAGACTCTCAAGGAGAGGGCTATGCCTCTCCCATCAAGTTGGGGCTGCCTGGAGGAGGAGGCCCATCCACCTCAGCTGTCTATGGTTCCTATCATAGACATGAACTGAAAACTGGATTCGGCCACGGGGACAGCAGGAGTCAGATGGTCCTGGGTAGCCTCAGGTCGAGGTCCTGCTGTCACCCAAGGAGCAGGGCTCACATCCCTGCTGGTGGGGAGGAAGAGGAGCCAGATTTATGGCCACCTTAGGTTGGCTACATCCTGCCCACAACAGTGCAAGAGACGGGCTGACCCAGGAAGAGTATGAACACACCAAGGTGCCTGGGGACGAAGTGGGGGTGAGCCCCAGTGGGCACTGTTGTCCTGGATCACCAGTCTCCACCTCTTCCTCTAAGACCCAACTCTGGGCCTCCCCTCCACACCCTGGACTCAGGGGTGCCCAGGGCATTTAGTGGCGCCTTAGCCGATTGGTTACAGCCACAAATCCACGCAGGGCAGTGGAGTCCTGAGTGCAGCTCCGAACCTCGCCACTGGACTTCCGGACTGTGGCCAGTCTGGATTGCTCACCAGCTCCTCCCAGTGACTGCGAGGCACAGAGAGCAGATGGGACCTGGCCTCACCCCAGGAGCCCCCACCCCTCTGCAGACACACCTGGGTTAAGGACAAACCCCAAAATCTCCCAGAGCAGGCTGATGGAAGGGCAGGGACCCGCCACCACTCAGGATCCCCAGATGGCCTCCAGGGACTCTGTCTCCTCATTCTCCCCCTCCCCCACCTGCTGGCTCAGCTCAGCTTTGCCAAGTCCTGTTTTGGGGATGGGGGAGCAGGCACAGGGGAAAAGATGAGGAAGTCAGGGGCCAGCCTGGTGTGAGGCTCCCCTCAGAGGCCCCCTGCCCACCCCCAGGTGCCTTGACACCACACTCCATAGCTCCTCCAGCCCCTCCTAGCCTTCTGTTGGGAGGGGACAGTAGCCAAGATTTTCAGGAACTATTAAGAGACTGCATCTTGGGCTCATGCAGAGGTTCTAGCAGGTATGGCCTAAGGACCAGCCAAGGGAAGGGAAATGATGTCAAGGAGGGGGTACTGAGCCAGCATGGCTCTGCCACCTTCGCCTCCCTCAGCCCTGCAGTGTCACTCTCCAACAAGGGAAGGCTGACAGCAGACAGGCCACCGGGCAATTAGTGAAAGAAGGGAGCAGGAGATAGGGCTGAAGTGGGGAGGGGGAAGTGAGAGTGAGTGGCCCTCTCCCTCCCTACTTCTGCCTCCCAAGGGTCTTGGGAACCCCTGACTCTGCCTAGATCTCCCACACCACCAAATCCATGTTGAGGGCTCCTGAGCTCACCCTGATCTGAGGGCTCGGACCCCAGTGGCCTAGTCCACAGGCTCCCCTAACTCCCCAGGCTGTGTGCCGGGTGGGGGAGGCTTCTAGACTTTTGCTCCACCCTAAGCTAGAGTCACCAACCCCTGCTGAAGCCGCCCTTCCCAGCCTTGCTCCTTTCAGTGGTTAGGAAGGGGTGCCCAATATGAGGACCCCACAGGCAACCTGTCCCCAACATATGGGGATGAGAAACACAGACACCCCCTTTGAAGGCTCCATCTGCCAACTCCACTCCCTGCAGCCTAGGCACTGAACAAATGAGGACCAAGTCCCCAGCAGGTCTTCAGCTCCCAGGAGGTTCAACTGTAACCTCTTCCATCTTTGACACGGAGACCCAGAAGGGCGGATGCTCCAGATCTGCACCCAGGAGCTGGGCCTGCAGGCCATTGGGGAAAGGGTGCCCCAGAGTCCCCATGCACAACTGGCTCCCAACTTCCCCACAGGATATTTTCATCTAAGACCTTTAGACCCATGAGCGCGTTTGCAGGAGGGGGGTGTCTTAAGGAGAGAGATCAGACGATTGCAGAAGAAAGTTTTGGGGCGAGAGTGCTAAGTCACTCAGAAGGAAGCCACTGTCACTCCCACCCCCTGGAGGGGCCAGCCTCTGGGCCGGGATCTCCAAGCGGCACCTGAGCCCCCGGGGGCGGGGACGCGTGCCAGGCCCTCTTCGAGAGCTGGGCCACACTTACCAGGACCCGGTTAAATCTCTCCTCCAGTTCCCCGGCCTCGGGCATCGGCTGGTTCGGGGCCGCGGGCCGGCCGGGGGGCGGCCCCCC